CATAGCCTGGGCTTGGGTATAGAGTCGACCACTATTCAAAGAACCAATCAGGTCATTCAGGCTTTTCCTTTCGACACATGTCTCTGGAGTCAATATATAATCTCCAACCTAGGAAAAAAAAACAAAGCAGTCAGTATATATACAGTCTCTACCAATGAGAAAACAAAGCAGTCAGTATATATACAGTCTCTACCAATGTAAAATAAAGACAGTCAGTATATATATATATACAGTCTCTACCAATAGAGAAAGCAGTCAGTATATACAGTCTCTACCAATGAGAAAACAAAGCAGTCAGTATATATACAGTCTCTACCAATGAGAAAACAAAGCAGTCAGTATATATACAGTCTCTACCAATGAGAAAACAAAGCAGTCAGTATATATACAGTCTCTACCAATGAGAAAACAAAGGAGACACTATATAATCTCTGACAAATGTTTGTTTTTTAGCAAAGCCACATTGGACTATCTGCTGTGTCCACTGCGGGGAATGAAACCCCAGAGTTCAGCGTTGTAAATCCATAAACTTACCACTGACCCATCGGGAGATAAGACACATAATACAACAAAGCAGGACATATAGTATTAAAAGAAATATCACATTCTTCTCTCGATAAAACATGATAGATAAAACAAACTGTATTAGTTTCAGTTTCATTTAATTACAATGAAGTTACAGAACAAAATGAAATACAAAAATAAACATAGGTTGTCATAAAAATATGGGAAGTTTAAAATCTAGGTTTATTTTTTATGAGTTTCTATCCTTGATAAATTATTGAAGTGATGACACTTGAGAAGAGATCGTTTTAATTAACTAAATCGTCTGCTCAGTAGGTAGTGAAGTCGGTTTCAATCTTTAAAAAAAAAATCTCTCTAGGGTGTTGTTACAAATCTTCAGGTGTGACACAATAAGTAGGAAAAAACTATTAACGTCTAACATTATATTCTAAATTTGTCTATTAGAATGCAATAAGCAAAAGCTTTTATATAATAAAGAAATATAAAAAATGATATTCATACCTCTATGGTAATAGGTTCAATATCTATACCTCTTCTGTGAATGAGAGAGGGGAGATCACTACGGAATTCTCGAAGATCAACTAAGATCTGGAACAGAGCAGTAAGCAGGGTGATATATGTTTCAGAAGTCAGTAAAATAGCCAAAAACTTCTAAGTTACCATACAAGTCTTCACAAGTTTGTATCAAAGATTTCATTGTGCTATTAGAATGTATATTTTCTAAGCATTTCCAAATTATAAAGTAATACAATACTCAGATCACATTACATACTAACCCTAGCTTTTTGTGTGAATTTTATATTTTGATTTTCGAACTTGATTTCATATAAATCTGATATTTCTCTTAAATTGATAATCACTAATCACTGTGAATGTACATAAATGTTTTTTATAACAAATGTAGAAAGAAAATGAAAACATTCAGTTTATAGAATTAAAGCCAAGATAAATGTGTATGGGTATTTATGAAACAGAAAAATCTATTTTAAATTTACATGAATATTGAAAAGTAAGACTGACTGGATTAAAACTGTTTGTTGGACGCAGAGAGAGAGAAATACATTCTAACAACAGTTTTTGTGATATAACAATATAATTAAACTGGATTAAAACTGTTTGTTGAACGCAGAGAGAGAAATACATTCTAACAACAGTTTTTGTGATATAATAATATAATTAAATTTTATGTTATTGTTAAGGTTATCTTTTCCATACCTTTTGTCATTCTCTCTTTTTTTAAGAAGACATTAATTACAACCTGTAGTGTAACACATTAATTATCATTAATTACAACCTGTAGTGTAACACATTAATTATCATTAATTACAACCTGTAGTGTAACACATTAATTATATAATTAATGTGTTACACTACAGGTTGTAATAATTGATAATTAATGTGTTACACTACAGGTTGTAATTAATTGATAATTAATGTGTTACACTACAGGTTGTAATTAATGATAATTAATGTGTTACACTACAGGTTGTAATAATGATAATTAATGTGTTACACTACAGGTTGTAATAATTGATAATTAATGTGTTACACTACAGGTTGTAATTAATGATAATTAATGTGTTACACTACAGGTTGTAATTAATGTGTTACACTACAGGTTGTAATTAATGTGTTACACTACAGGTTGTAATTAATGATAATTAATGAGTTACACTACAGGTTGTAATTAATGATAATTAATGTGTTACACTACAGGTTGTAATTAATGATAATTAATGTGTTACACTACAGGTTGTAATTAATGTGTAATGCTAGAAGTTGTAATGGTACTTAATGAAGGAACCAACTAGAAACAATGCTATTTTATACTTATTGTTAACTTCAAATATAGAAATGATTGAGATGGTGAAAACTAGGGAACATCTGGGTGATCATTGCTCTATTAGGTTCGATGTTTTACTGCATATGGAGATAAGGAATAATGATATTTTGGTTACAAATTTCAAAAAAAAAAGCAAATCTTCAAGGGATGCGACAATAATTATCTGTTGTGAATTGGGCAGAAGAGTTACTTGGAGACACTGATCAGATGTGGAAAATTTTTAAAGATAAATTTATAAATATTCA